GGTACACTATCCCCCAAGGGCTCCAAGTTGGGCTCCAAGTTGGGTTCCCTTTAGTCTCTTCCTACAGCTTTATCGCCAGTGGCTAGGACTGCTGTGATCCGATATCACCTCACTCTCCAATGCTGGTGCAGAAGCTCTCGGCTGCTGGGGTCCTGAGTTGTGGGCATCCATGCCCTCTATGTAGGTCCACTGTGTCCCTCTAAGTTGCGTAGTGTTTCCTCTGCTGTTTTCTCCCTACCCCTTCCCTGAGCTTGCATTCTCTCCACTTTTTTTAAACTATCTTCCTAGACTAGAGCAGTAAGCTCCCACCCTACTCTGCCATCATGGAAGCTCTTGTCATCATATTAGTTTTAAAACTTACCTATTTATTTTCATTTTATTTGAAAGACAGAGAAGTAGAGGGAGATGGATGCAGACAGACAGATACAGAGATCTTCCACCTTCTGGTTCTGTCCTCACATGCCTGCAACCTCCAGGACTGGGTCAAACTAATGCAAGGAGCTTGGACTCAATCCCAGGTCTCCCTTAGTGGTGGGAGAGACTCATGCACTTGGGCCATTATCTGCTGCCTCCCAGGGTGCACACCAGCAGGAAACTGGAAGCAGAAGCAGAGTCAGGACTTGAACCCAGGTACTTTGATATGGCATGTGGGTGTCCCAAGTGGCATTTTAACAACTGTGCCTGTCCAGGTAGCTTTTTTAAAACATTATTTGTGCCATGCTCACTCTCCTATTGCAGCTTGAAAGAGTAGATTTAATATTTACCAAAGATTTAACTGAGAGAAGCAATTAAGATGAAAGATAATTGTACAACAATGTGAGTATATTTGATGCTACTGAATGGCACACTTAACAATGTTAAGATGGCAAATGTTTGTGTCATCTTAAAAACCACAATGAAAATTACAACAGTTTAAAAAGTAGGTGAGCCCCGTTGTGATGGAAATGTTTTCTGCACTTTGTCCAAGTCATAGCCTCCTGATCGCAATGTTCCTTGAAGGATCTGTCAGATGTGGCCCCAAACCAACAGCATTTCTAAAAAGGCTATTAAAAAGCCAGTAGAATAGCCAGGACAAATAGCATTCATAGGTCTCAGGATAAGCAAGACCTATTCTTGGTAAATATTCAACTTGAGCCCAGCTATGGCACACAATTAGGGAGTGAACCAGTGGATGGAAGAGATCCATTCTCTCTCTCTCTCTCTCTCTCTCTCTCTCTCTCTCCCTCTCTCTCTGCTTTTCAAACGAACATTTAAAAAAATCACCTAGAAGCCCTGTTAATACCCAGACTGCTGGGCCCCAGAATCTGATATAGTCTGGAGGGTAGGGTCTGAAAACTTCCATTTATGACAAAATCCCAGGTGATGGCCTGGGCTCAGGCTCTGAGAACCACCGGCACAGGCCAGTGCAGCAAGCTGGTGAATGCTGGTTAAGTGATAATCCTCTGTCCAGTCTTCCTGCTATTCCACAAGGGAGCATCACTGTTCATTTTAAATGAGGCAGGAAAAAGCATGGTTTCTTTGTCATATGTGTTTTTCTGTGATATATTACGTTTGGTATACAGATTGCATTGTGTCGTGAGAGGGGAAATTTGTGTATTGATTACTAGAAATTTATTACTGCTGACACTGATATTTGGAATATTTATATTTGATGCTTAAAATATTGATCTATTGATTTCTTAAAAATTTATTTTCATTTTATTTAAAAGAGAGAGAGGGAGAGAGAGACACACACAGAGAACTTCCATTCACTGATTCACTCCCCAAATGCCTGTAGTAGCCAAGACTAGGCCATGCCAAAGCCAAGAGCTTGGATTTCAGTTTGGGTCACATGGGTGGCAGGGACCTAAGTGCTTGAGCTATTGTCTGCTGCCTCCCAGGGTGTGCCTTAGCAGGAAGCTGGAATTGGAAGTAGAGCAGGGACTTGAACTCAGACACTTGATTTTTATGTCTGTAATTTCCTTTTTGAAAACAAGAGAAAAGGATTCAGAGCCTTAACTGCAAACACTTCTATGACAATAACACTTTGCAAATGTAGCTGGTCTTTTTACGTGAGCAATGAACAGTCAGCTTGGGTAAAAGGATACAACCACCCCTCTTTGTGATCTGGGCTTGGGCAGTGGACTTGAGATCTCAGGGTCCTAAAGAGAGCTGTCTTGTGAGGAAGTCGACTTTCCTGAATCCGAGAAGGGTCCGGAGGTGGGTGTGCAAAACTGGAGGCACCTGATCTTCTGTGTGTCTTTGCACTCATGGGCTTCCACCGCAGTGCAGCCATTCAGAATAAACAGGGGCTGACGCTGTGGCACAGTGGGTTAAGGCGCCACCTGCGATGCCGGCATCCCATAAGAGCATTGATTCATGTCCTGGCTGCTTCACTTCAGGTCCAGCTTCCTACTAACGCACCTGGGAAAGCAGCAGAAGATGGTCTAAGTCTTTGGGCCCCTGCACCCACGTTGGGGACCTGGCTCCTGGCTTTGACCTGACCCAGACCTGGCTGTTGTGGCCATATGGGGAGTGAACCAGTGGATGGAAGATCTCTCTCTTTCTCTCTCTCCCTGCCCCTGTGTGTGTGTCTTCCTCCCTGTCTCTGTGACTCTGCCTTTCAAATAAACAAAAATAAATCTTAAAAAAAAAAAGAATAAATACAGGGGCCGGCGCTGTGGTGCAGTGGGTTAAAGCCCTGGCCTGAAGTGCTGGTATCCCATATGGGCTCTGGTTCTAGTCCTGGCTGCTCCTCTTCCGATCCAGCTCTCTACTATGGCCTGGAGTAGCAGTAGAAGACGTCCCAAGTCCTTGGGCCCCTGCACCCATGTGGGAGACCTGGAAGAAGCTCCTGGCTCCTGGCTTTGGATCGGTGCAGCTACGGCTGTTGTGGCCATCTGGGGAGTGAACCAACGGATGGAAGACTTTCTCTCTCTCTCTCTCTCTGCCTCTCCTCTCTCTCTGTAACTCCGACTTTCAAATACATAAAATAAAATAAAAAAATAAATACAAAACTGGGTAGTGCTTTGAGCAAAGTGACAACAGCAGTTTCTGTCCCACAAAGTATGTAGACTGTTGTGGTTTAGCCTTAGTGGCAGGTGAGAAAGGGGATGGTTCACATGACTCACTTAGCAACCCTGTCAAAGTAGATGGCAAAACATAGAGCACAATTGTCTTTCACTATGGGAACCCTTGGAAACAAAACAGGGAAACCAAACACAGTGACATCACTAAGAATGATACTGTGGAAGTAGATTTTTTTAAAAAAGGAAACACAAGTATTACTGAGTGAAAAATACACGGTATAAAACTGCATATGTAGGCTGGCGCCGTGGCTCACTAGGCTAATCCTCCACCTTGTGGCGCTGGCACACCGGTTCTAGTCCCAGTCGGGGCACCGGATTCTGTCCCGGTTACCCCTCTTCCAGGCCAGCTCTCTGCTGTGGCCAGGGAGTGCAGTGGAGGATGGCCCAAGTGCTTGGGCCCTGCACCTGCGTGGGAGACCAGGAGAAGCACCTGGCTCCTGCCTTCGGATCAGTGCAGTGTGCCAGCCGCAGCGCACTGGCCATGGTGGCCACTGGAGGGTGAACCAAACCAATGGCAAAAAGGAAGACCTTTCTCTCTCACACTGTCCACTCTGCCTGTCAAAAAAAAAAAAAAAACACACACACACACAAAAACAAAAAAAAAAACAGCATATGTAGTATGAGTTGATGATTGCAAGGAAAAAATGTTGAAGTGAGTTCATTAAACATCACTAGCAGTGATTTTAAGGGGAGGGGGAAGTGTTGGATTCCTGGTGTATTTTGCTTTTTATGTTTTTCAGTGTTTCCTATTACTTGTTGCTTTTCTCTTAAAAAAAAACAAAGAAGCAGTTATTATTTTTAAAAAGCAAGTACAAGTGACACAGAATATAAATGGCATCTCCTACAGTTTAATTTTTAAGATGTATTTATTTATTTGAAAGTCTGAGTTACACAGAGAAAGGAAGAGGCAGTGAGAGAGAGAAAGGAGAGAGAGAGAGAGAGAGAGAGAGAGCTTTCATCCACTGATTCACTCTCCAAATAGCTGCAATGCGCAATGGCAGGGTCCGGGCCAGGACAAAGCCAGACACCAGGAGTCAGGAGCCAGGAGCTTCTTCCAGGTCTCCCATATGGGTGCCGGGGCCCAAGCACTTGAGCCATCTTCTGTGCTTTCCCAGTACATTCGCAGGGAACTGAAATGGAAGTGGAGCAGCCAGGATTCAAACCAGCATCCATACAGGATGCCAGCATCAAAAGCGTCAGCTTAACCTGCTATGTCACAATGCTGCCTTCCCCACCTCCCCACCCCAGTGTATTTTAAAATGATGCCATAGGGCCTATGTTGTGGTATGGCGAGTTAAGTTGCAGCTTGCAACACTGGCACCCCTTATCAGAGTGCCAGTTTGAGTCCCAGCTGCTTCCCTTCCAATCCAGCACCCTGCTAATGCACCTGGGAAAGCAGCAGAAGATGGCCCAAGACGCCTTGGGTCCCTGCCACCCATGGGAGACCTGGCTCCTGGCTTTGGCCTATGCCAGCCCTGGCTACTGTAGCCATTTGCTGGGTGACCCAAGAGATGAACGATTCCCTTCTCTCTCTCTCTCTCTCTCTCTCTCTCTCTCATGTTCTGCCTTTCAAGTAAGTAAATAAATAAATCTTTTTTTTTTTTTTAAAGCCCTGGGACTGGCGCTGTGGCTTAGCAGGTAAAGTCGCCGCCTGCAGTGTCAGCATCTCATATGGGCGCTGGTTCGAGACCTGGCTTCTCCTCTTCTGATCCAGCTCTCTGCTATGGCCTGGGAAAGCAGTAGAAGATGACCCAAGTCCTTGGGCCCCTGAACCCATGTGGGAGACCCAGAGGAGTCTTCTGACTCCTTGCTTTGGATTGGCGCAGCTCCTGCTGCTGCAGCCAATTGGGGAGTGAACCAGAGGATGGAAGACCTCTCTCTCTTTCTCTCTCTCTCTCTCTCTCTGCCTCTCCTCTCTCTGTGTAACTCTGACTTTCAAATAACTAAATAAATCTTTTAAAAAAGCCCTTTATTCACTTAGTTCATAAGTTCCACTATGTTTCATAGGAAGGTCCTGGGAGTGAGTTTACAGGATATACATGTAGCTTGTAGCTGCTGCCACAACTTAACATTACGCTTCTTCAGAATGTAGTATTTACTGTATAATTATTCCTGCAAATACTAGCTATTTACCAGTCGTGGGACAAAAAGAGATGGAAATAGACACAGTTATAAATGACTGCTAGTCACTATAGCAACACTACAAAAATGTTCTATTTTTGTCCCTGTGATAATAAATTTACTAACATATATGTCTTACAACATGCATTATTTTAAATATACATGAAACATTTTGAGATACACCTCCAAATTTTATTCTAAGTGTATTTCCTTAAATATAACATCCATAACACATGCCAACCACCCCACGATAAGGTCACTCAAAATTAAATTACCTTCTATTCCATACAGCCAGGTCGTCTTTCACAAGGAAAACTACACAGGTATTTTTCAGTTGCCCCCAACTAAGGTGATTATAGAAATATTTACAGAATCGTGTGCTGTTAAGATTTGAGTTTGGCTGAAATACACTCGTGACTGTTCCAAACTTTATGTTTTAAGAATGAGAAAATCAATTATGCTCTTTCAACACCCAAATCTCCATCTTTCTGTTTGTTTACTCTTTGGTGCAAATAATTCTATAAAAGGAGAGAAAGCAAGATGATCTTGGGATCAGTCTCCTGTGCAGCTGAGGTTTGTAAACAATGTTTCAGGGTCGGGGGTCTGTATCCCACTGGAGGCAGAGCAGGACTTGAAAGTGGGCGTCACCTGGCTTGGTGACAGGCACTCCGTGTCTGCGGGAAGCAGCTCAGCGCCTTTGAGCCTACTTGCTCCTCTCTGCACCATTGCTTATCTTTGTAAATAATAATCTATATAAGGCTTGGGCACATTTCCCCAGCCCCAGGTACTGCAGGTTCTCATCATCTCCCTTCTCATCTGGTATGGTGGAGAGTTCCACTAGTGTAACAACACACAGACAATCATTTAGGCTGTGTAACTCTGCATATTCAACTCTGTATACGTAAAGAGGTTTGCAAACCAGGATATCAATGATAATGTTCACATCTACACCAAGTAGCTGGTCCTCTGTGTCTCAGGCAGACTGCTTCCAGAAAGCCCCTTGGATACCAGCACCCGTGATGCTCCAAACCCTTAGATAAAACATTGCAGTTTTTGCATATGACCTATAGAACCCTCTCATATACTTTAAGTACTCCCTTTACCACAATGTAAATGCTGTGGAATAATTGTTACAGTGTTATTTAGGGAATGTTGGCAAGAAGAACTGTCTGTACATGTTCAGTATAGGTGTAGTTTTTTTTTTTTTTTAAAGATTTCTTTATTGATTTGGAAGACAGAGTTCAGAGAGGCAGAGGCAGATGCAGAGAGAGAGAGAGAGAGACTCCATCCGCTGGTTCACTCCCCAGTTGGCCGCAATGGTGATTCAAAGCCAGGAGCCAGGAGCTTCTCCCAGGTCTTCCAAGCAGCTGCAGGGGCCCAAGGACTTGGGTCATCTTCTATTGTTTCCCCAGACCATAGCAAAGAGCTGGATCAAAAGTGGAGCAGCCAGGTCTTGAACCAGCACCCATGTGGGATGCCGGCACTGCAAGGCAGCAACTTTACCCACTATGCCACAGTGCCCTCCCTATAGGTGTAATTTTTTCCAAAGTGCTTTTGATCCATAGTTGGTTAAATGTTTGCCTGTGGACTCCATGGATGCAGAGGGCTGTTGAGTATATTTTAATTCAACCAACCTGTCATCCAAGCCAGTGACTTCAGGAGGAATTTGTATGTTGGTATTTATCAAATTTGTGAATTCAGCTTACAATGGGTATTAGAAATTTGTATTGAATGTATTTTGCAACCATTTATTTAAAAAAGATTTATTTTATTTATTTGAAAGACAGAGTTACAAAGAGAGATAGAGACAGAGAGAGAGAGAGAGGTCTTCCATCTGCTGGTTCACTCCCCAAATGGTTGCAATGGCCAGAGCTGTGCTGATCCAAAGCAAGGAGCCAGGAGCTTCCTCCTGATCTCCCACGTGGGTGCATGGGCCCAAGGACTTGGGCCATCTTCTACTTCTTTCCCAGGCCATAGCAAAGAGCTAAATTGGAAGTGGAGTAGCCAGGACTCGAACTGGAGCCCATATGGTATGCCTGTGCTGTAGGCCAGGGCTTTAACCTGCTGTGCCACAGCGCCTGCCATTTTGCAGTCATTTAAATTTTACCATTTGTGTGTGTGTAACACTGAAATCACTTTTTGGGCCCCTTTGTATAACTTTTCAGCTAGTTTGATATTTGGTAAGATTGGCACTTGCCACTAGAAGGGGCACCTCTGTAGAAAAGTTGTGGGCAGATGGAAAACATGACGTTGCTGCAATGGGACTTTACATAAAAACAGGCCATAAACATTGCCAAATTCCAGTTTATATGGCTCTTTTACAAGCAACACTTCCTTGATACAACTCTGTGATAGGCAGTTATCCCAAATTAACATCTGAGGCATCTTCAAGAAGCTCACGGAAAGTGCATATGAAAAAACCATGCTGGGCTGATGTCCTTAAGCCTCTGCCTGAGACACTGACATCTCGTATGGGCACTGGTTCGAGAGCCAATTGCTTCACTTCTGATCCAGCTCCCTGCTAAGGCACCTGGGAAAGCAGCAGAAGACGGCCCAAGTGCTTGGGCCCCTGCACCTACATGGGAGACTCGGATGAAGCTCCTGGCTTTGGTCAGGCACAACCAGCCATTGTGGCCATTTGGGGAGTGAACCAGCGGATAGAATATCCCTCTCTTTATCTCTGTCTGTCTCTCCTCTTCTCTCTGTAACTCTGTCTTTCGAATAAAACAAATAAGTAAAAAGACAGAAAAAAAGAAAAAGAGAAAAAATGCATGGATTTCAAAATTAAAAAAAAAATGTATTTATTTATTTGAAGGACAGTTACAGAGAAAGAGGGAGAGGGAGAGAGAGAGAGAGATCTTAAACTCGACTTGAACAGGTGCCCCACTATAGAACGCTGGCATTGCAGGCAGCAGCCTGGAATTTCACCTATTTTTTGCAGTAAAATAAACATCTTTGAATTCCCTTTTCCATAGGTTTTAGGAAATGTGTATGAGGAAATGGAGTTGCAGAGAACATAGAATACATAACTTTCCAACTTTCCAAGGCCCCATGGTAGGTAGATGGGGGGGGGGGGGTCCTCTGACCTGGTGGTTACGATGCCTGCATCCCGTGTCACAGTGCCTGGGTTTGAGTCCCGGCTCTGTTCCTGATTCTCACTTCCTGCTGATGCATGCCCTAGGGGGCAGTAGATGACGGCTCACGTAGTTGGGTCCCTGCCGCCTATGTAGGAGACCCCGACTGGGTTCCCAGCTCCCTGTTTCCATGGGGCCCAGCCCCAGCTGGAATGAATAAATGAATGGGAGCTCTGTCTCTCAAAAAATTTTTTTTTTAAAAGAAGTAAGTGCTGAATCTAAAGGTTTGGGGTCTGCAAATCCCCTGCTCTTCTTCCCCGATCTCCCCTCAGGAGTCTGAAGGCTGTGAACCCCCAAAAGGAATACACAAAGAGGAGGTGCTGAGTGGTTCTCAAGTCTGCCCAGTCACTGGCTGCCAGGAAAATAAGCCGCCTCCTATGGTTGCTCTACTGTTTTTCCAGGACGGATGGGCACATGGATTTGTCTGCTAAAGCAACACCCAGCACCTAGGCGTCATCTTCTCTCCAAGGCACAGAAAATGTAACCCTGATCAGACTGGGAACATCTAATGACTAAGACGGGAAAGTATCCCAGTGCTGAAGGCAAACACAAGAAACTCTGGGCGCCAGAGGTGACTATGAGGGGTGGAGGGTGGGGCCCTCTCCTGGACCAGGGGTTGGATGGAGGGGCATTTGAGTGAGACAGAAAATCAAGAAGGCACAGTGAAGTCAACTAGCAAGAAGGGGCGAAGGGAAGGAGGGAACAGCATGTGCAAAGGCCCAGAGGCTAGGGAGAGTGCTGAGAACAGGGAGAAGTTCAGTTTGGATGAACTGTGAAAGCCCAAATCCTCACCAGCCAAAAGGAGTGTGGACTTTATCTTGGCAATAAGAGTGGGCCAACAGGGCTTTCAAATGGACCACCATCACACAAAGATAAACTGCGGGAGTCACCCAGTTCAACGATGGTGGGGTGGTGAAAACTTGGTAGTGACAGGGAAAAAGTATAGACACTGGGGGTCGGCAGGTAAAGCTGCCACTTGCAGTGCCGGCATCCCACATGGACACCAGTTAGAGTCCTGGCTGCTCCACTCCCAGTCTAGCTCTCTGCTATGGCCTGGGAAAGCACTAGAGAACGGCCCAAGTCCTTGGGTCCCTATACCTGTGTGGGAGACCTGCTACACCTGTGTGGGAGACCTGGAAGAAGCTCCTGGCTCCTGGCTTCAGATGGGCGCAGCTCTGGCAGCTGCAGCCAATTGGGGAGTGAACCAGCAGATGGAAGACCTCTCTCTCTCTCTCTCTCTCTCTCTGCCTCTGCCTCTCTGTAACTCTGCCTTTCAGATAAGTAAGTAAATCTTTTTTAAAAAAAGTATAAACACCGGAGCAAGTGTTCTTTAGGGACACTTTAGTGAACTGCTCGGGCCTGAGCAGGCCTGGCTGTCTCCAGGAGGGAAGAACAAGCAATCATTCCAATGGGATCAGGCAAAAGGCTGAGGTCAGGGAACTCCAGGGAAGAGACGGGTGGGCAAAGGGCCAGCTCTCAGAGCCCCGTCCCCCACCTCCTGTCCCCAGCCCCAATTGAAGCTTCCCTTCGTTCGCATCAAGCAAGCTCCACTGGTGACATCATTCTGAGAACCGGATATTGCTCCTTTAAACTCTAGGCATGAAACCAATTCGGCCAACTGGAAGAGACTGCTTTATTCTTTGGTAACACAAAGAAAAATTAAAAACAAACACAAAACCCCACCAAATTAAATGTACAGCAGTAGAAGCACGCAGGTGGTAAAATCATTAACACAAACTCTTGCAATTTGTCTTAAAGGATGTCCACGAGGACGGGCACAGCGAGGGGCAGGAGCAGAAAGGCTGGGGTTCCTTTGGCACACACCTATTTTGTAAGCTCATCAGTGAAAGGCATCTTCACTGGGTTTCAAGGCACACAGGAGGGAGGAACAGCCCAGCTGCTCCCGCCGGCCTCCCTCCTTTTTTCTTAGCAGGTACAGCTGTTTGTTTTACTCAACTCATGTTCAGCACATTTAGCTCCCTAAGGCCAAGGCAGAAATCCCAATGGAGTGACGTCTGATGAGCAAAGGAGAAGAGACACTAAGCACATCACACAGGGAGAGAACAGATGCTGTCTTAGGAAATCCACAAGATCCGGCTTCTTAGAAAGTGTCCTCCTCTCGGTTGTAGGACATGTCTGACTCCACAGCGCCAACACTTCCATAATCGGAGTTTCTGTCTGTGGAGGTGGCCTCACGTTGATCCTGCTCCTTGCTCCCGGGCTCTCCTCTCCGCAGGACAGGGTCAGATGGTTCCAACATGGCAGAACTCACTGTGTGACGTCCCTTGGCAGGTGGCACCTCGGCCCCGCCCACTTCTGCTACCTCTGAGCCCTGGGCTGGGAACAAAAGTCGCTCGTGCTGTAGCCTTTTTCTTGTTTCTTCTTCTTTAGTCTGAAAAGCAGTATAAAAGAATGAAAAAGTGCCCAAGTAACTTTTTTTTTTTTGACAGGCAGAGTGGACAGTGAGAGAGAGAGACAGAGAGAAAGGTCTTCCTTTGCCGTTGGTTCACCCTCCAATGGCCACCGAGGCCGGCGCGCTGCGGCTGGCACACCGTGCTGATCCGAAGCCAGGAGCCAGGTGCTTCTCCTGGTCTCCCATGCGGGTGCAGGGCCCAGGCACTTGGGCCTTCCTCCACTGCACTCCCTGGCCACAGCAGAGAGCTGGCCTGGAAGAGGGGCAACCAGGACAGAATCTGGCGCCCCAACCGGGACTAGAACCCAGGGTGCTGGCGCCACAGGCAGAGGATTAGCCTATTGAGCTGTGGCGCCGGCCCCAAGTAACTTTCTTACTTATATTTTGTATTCAAAGGGAGAGAGAGAAAGAGAGAGGGAGGGAGAGAGAGAGAGGCACCTCCCATCCCCAAATTCCATCAATGGCTAGGACAGGGCCAGGCCACAACTGGGAGATGGGAACTTAACCTTCACCTCCCATGTGGATGGCAGGGACACAGGTACTTGATCTATCACCTGCTGCCTCCCAGTCATGCATTAGCCAGAAGCTGGACTTGGGAGGGAATCTGAGACATACACCCAGGCATTCTACTATGGGATGTGGGCATCCCTAACAGTGTCTTCAGCCTGAATAATAACTTTCTCCAAGTTATCCTTCACCTCACTCATCATGAATGATCTGGCTTCTCTCCTCCATTACCCAGGCAGGTGACAAACGTGCTGAGCAAGTCCCATTGAAGAAGACAGACCCAGGACTTACACTGAGTTCCCCTCTCTGAGAGGCCAAAGGAGAGATGGGAATAAAGTCAGCCTTGGAAAGCTGACTGCTGCCAGGTGCACACAGAGGGCTTGCTGTCTGGTGGTCTGGGAATCTCTTCTCAGCCTTATACCCCACCTCTGTCCCTCTTCCACCCCTGCTCCAACACAAGTTTTCTTTGTTTCATGGGAAGACAATGTCATACTTCACTTAATCCTAAGAATTACAGGAGTGGGGCATAGAGGCATAGTGGGTAAAGCTGCCACCTGCAGTGCCAGCATTCCATATGGGCACCGGTTTGAGTCCTGGCTGCTTCACTTCCAATCCAGCTCTCTGCTATGGCCTAAGAAAGCAGTGGAAGATGCCCCGGTCCTTGGGCCCCTGCACCTGTGTGGGAGACCTGGAAGAAGCTCCTGGCTCTTGGCTTCAGATCAGCACAGCTCTGGCCATTTTGGCCAACTGGGGAGTGAACCAGCGGATGGAAGACCTCTCTCTCTCTCTCTCTCTCTCTCTCCCTCTGCCTCTCTGTAACTCTGCCTTTCAAATAAATAAATAAATCTTAACAAAAAAGAATCATAGGAGTGTTTCAAAAACTTAATGGAAAATGTACTCCAGAAAAACCAGTAATAGATTACAATTTTTTTGCCTCAAAATAAACATCTTTTTATTGCATCTTCCACATTTCGGGAATACCCTACACAGGAAACTAATTTTTCACCAACCTCAAGATATCTCTTTATTCCTTCACAATACACAGATAATTAAAATCAAACACTAAACACCCAGCTTAAGGTGCAGGCAGGTCATTCATAGTGAATATTGACCATTTGTGTTGAAGCTGCTCGTAGGACTGGTCTGACACGAGCTGGTGTCCACCAGCACTGCCACCCACAAGCCCCACTACCTTGCGGCGTGCCTCTGCTGCCTGCATTTTCTGGTCTCTGTCTTTCCTTGTGAAGTCTTTCTCTGTCTTTTTGATCTGGAGCTTTTTCAGTCTGGCTGGCGGCTTTCTCTGTGGCTTCTCAGTTGTGTGCACCTGAAAGAAGACCCTTTTTGAAGTAGAGAAACAAGATTGCTCATGGGCAGAGGAGAAAGGCAGGAGAGGTAGTAGAATCAACACAGTTTAAAACATAAATCCTAAGAATTTAAATGTTCCCATGGCAGGTAGAAAACAACAAGATGAAAGCAGGTAAGAACAGAATTCCTAAAGGGAAAACCCAGTAAATGTCTCAAAACGTACACAGCGGGTGCTAAGAGTGTAAGGTGTTCTGTAACTGAATAGACAAGGGCTCATGAGAAGAAAAAAAAAAAACCAAAAGGAAATAAATAAGTAAGAGAAGAAGAGGAGGAGGAGGAGGAGGAGGGAGAAGGGGGGAAGAAGGAAGAGGTTGGAGGGGAGGAAGAAGAAGAGAAAGAAGAAGGAACAAAACCTTGGGAATATATATCAGATGGGAAACTGTGGCCAACAAGCAATAAATTTGTAGTTCAAGGTAGAAAGTTTAGGGTAATACTCCATAAGCTGGACTTACTTTCATTTGGGGTAGAGATTACTCTTGGTCTCGTGGGACAGAAAGACAACTAACAGTGACTGAGCAACAGCTCTGAACCGGGCCTTGCTGTTGGCCCTTTACAAATGTTTTCATGACAGCAGGGGAAAAAGTCTCATTTCATATGATTCACTACTTTTTCTTCATTTCGAGGCCGTAATGACTTTCTAATATTAATTTTTAGTTACAAAAAAGTCAAGTGGTTGTCAGGCATTTAAGAACAAAAATACCCAAAATTTACATGTCATTCTTTAAAAATGCACATTCTACAATATGCATTGGCTATGAAAAATTAAGGGGCCGGCACCATGGCTCACTTGGCTAATCCTCCACCTCCAGTGCCGGCATCCCATATGGGCACCGGGTTCTAGTCCCAGCTGCTCCTCTTCCAGTCCAGCTCTCTGCTGTGGCCCGGGAGTGCAGTGGAGGATGGCCCAAGTGCTTGGGCCCCTGTACCCCATGGGAGACCAGGAGGAAGCACCTGGCTCCTGGCTTCAGATCAGCGCAGCACGCCGGCCGTGGCGGCCATTAGGGGAGTGAACCAATGGAAGGAAGACCTTTCTCTCTGTCTCTCTCTCTCTCACTGTCTAACTCTGCCTGTCCAAAAAAAAAGTTAAAATGATAAATACATGATTTCCGGATTCTTGGTTTAATCACTTGGCTTTTGGTCTCACTCCTTGCCATGAAGCTTTGTAAACAGTTCTATGTGTGTCTTCATAGATTCTCTTTCTTTCTTTCTTTCCTTCTTTCCTTCTTTCCTTCTTTCCTTCCTTCTTTCCTTCCTTCCTTCCTTCCTTCTTTCCTTCTTTCCTTCTTTCCTTCCTTCTTTCCTTCCTTCCTTCTTTCTTTCTTTTTTTTTTTTTACAGGCAGAGTGGACAGTGAGAGAGGGAGACAGAGAGAAAGGTCCTCCTTTTGCCGTTGGTTCACCCTCCAATGGCCGCCGCGGTGGGAGTGCTGCAGCTGGTGCACCGCACTGATCTGATGGCAGGAGCCAGGTACTTATCCTGGTCTCCCATGGGGTGCAGGGCCCAAGCACTTGGGCCATCCTCCACTGCCCTCCCGGGCCACAGCAGAGAGCTGGCCTGGAAGAGGGGCAACCAGGACAGAATCCGGCGCCCCAACCAGGACTAGAACCCGGTGTACCGGCGCCACAGGCAGGGGATTAGCCTATTGAGCCGCGGCGCCGGCCTAGATTTTTTTCTATGCATGCTTATAGACAGGCATTCCTTGGAGATATGGCAGGTTCAGTTTGAGATCACAAGGCATATATGGCACACAATAAAGAGCCAGGGGATTTTCTTTGGTTTTTCCAGTACATAAAAATTTATGTTTACACTACACTGGAGTTTACTAGGTACACATTAGCATTACATGTTTTTAAAAAATTTATGTATTTATTTGAAAGACAGAGAGAGGTTTCAGGGGGAGAGAGAGAGAGAGGTCTTCCATCCGATGGTTCTCTCCCCAGATGACCACAATGCTGGAGCTGCATGGATCTGAAGCCAACAACCAGGGCAGGACCTTCCTCTGGGTCTTCCACATGGGTGCAGGGGCACAAGCACTTGGGCCGTCTTCTACTGCTTTCCCAGGTCATAGCAGGGAACTGGATTAGAAGTGGAGCAGCTGGGACTTGAACTGGTGCCCATAGGAGATGCCAGAACTTCAGGCAGCGATTTTACCCGCTAAGCCACAGCACCGGCCCCAGTATTACATCTTTTTAAAATGTGCACATCTTTTTATAAGATGTGCACGTCTTAATTTAAAAATACTTTATGGCTAAAAAAAAATGCCAACACTTATCTGAGCCTTCAGCAAGTTGCGAAGTCTTTGCTGGTGGACGGTCTGCTGGTAGTGGCTGCTGAAGTTTGGGGTGGCGCTGGCAGTTTCTGAAAACAAGATGACAGTAAAGCTTGCCCCACTGATCGACTGTTCCATTGAGGAGAGATTTCTCTGCAGCATGTGACACTATGTGATACTATTGACCCATGCTTGAACTTCTTCTAAATGGGAGTTAATGCTCTCAAACACTGCTTCAGCTTCATCAACCACATTTCTGTAATATTCCAAATTCTTTGCTGTCATGCCAGCAATGTTCCCAGCATCTTCCATCTCAAGAAACCACTTTGTTTTTGTTCATCCTTAAAGTTCTGTCAGGACATTGAGCTGCTTCGGTCACATCTACAGACTCCACTTCAATGCGCTTGCTGTGTCCACCATCTCTGCTGAAGTCTTGAACCCCTCACGGTCAACCATTGAGGGTTGGAATCCACCCTTTCCAAACTCCTATTCATGTTCATATTCTTACCTCCTCCCATTAACACAACTGTTCTTCATGGCAGCCAGAACGTTGAATCCTTTCCAGAAGGTTTTCATTTACTTTGCTGAGCGTTATCAGAAGAACCACTGTTTATAGGGAGCTGTCACCTTACAATATATTTCTTCAATAATAAAGCTCGGAGGTAGAAATGGCTCCTTGATCCACGGGCTGCAGGAGGGACGTTGTGTTAGCAGGCATATAAGCATTAATATTGTGTGCATCTCCATGAGAGCTTTTGGGTGACCAGATGCAGTATCAATGAGCAGTAACAGTTTGAAAAGAATCTTTTTTAACAATGGGCTTAATGTATTCAGTAAATCATGTTATAAACCATGACAGATGGGCTGTCATCCAGGCTTTGCTGTTCCACTGACAGAGCACAAGTGGAGTAGTCTTCTTTCTTTGTTTTTTAAATTGTTTTATTTATTTAAAAGCACAGAGAGACAGGGAGATAGATAGATTGATCGATTGATCGACTGATCTATCTTCCATCTGTTGTTTCATTCCCCGAATGGCCACCAGCTGGAGCTGGGCCAGGCTGAAACTCCATCCAGTTCTCCTAAATATGTAGGCGGGGGCCTAGGCATTTGGGCCATCTTCCATTGCTTCCCCAGGAGCATTAGCAGGGAGCTGGATCTGAAGCAGAGCAGCTGGGACTTAAACCAGTGCTCACATGAGATGCCAGTGTCACAGGCAGTGGCTTAACCCACCGCACCACAATGGTGGCCCCAAGCAGAGCAGATTTAATGAATTCTTAAGGGTTCTAGGATTTTTGGAATAATAAATGAGCACTGGATTCAACTGAAAAGTCGGCAGTTGCAATAACCTCTAACAAGCGTCAGCCTGACTTTTGAAGCTTTGAACCTGGCTGTTGACTTTCCCTAGCTATGAAATTCCTAGATGACATCTTTTTTCAATATAAGGCTATTTCAACTGCGTTGGAAATCTGTTGTTTAGCGTAGCCCCCTTCCTCAGTGGTCTTTGCTGTTTATTCTGGGGGGACAACTTGCTGCAGCTTCTCCATCAGCACTTGCTGCTTTGTCTTGCTCTCTGATGTCTTGTAGGTGGCTTCTTTCATTATCCTCCGTGAGCCAGCCTCTGCTAGCTTCAGACTTTTCTTCTGCAACCTCCTCCTCGCCTGTCACAGCTTTCACAGAACTAGAGGGTTGAGGCCTTACTCTGAATTAGGTTTTGCTTTAAGGGAATGTTGGGGTTGGTTTGATCTTCCATCCAGACCATTGAGACTTCTCCACGTCAGCAGTAAGGCGGTTCCACTTCCTTATTCATGTGTTCACTGGAATGGCATTTTTAATCTCATTCAAGAACTTTTCCATTGCATTCACAGCTTAGCTGACTGTTTGGTATGAGAGGCCCAACCCTAGGCCTATCTTGGCTTTCAACATGCCTTCCCCTCTAAGTTTAATTATTTCAACTTTTGATCTAAAGTGAAAAATGTGCAACTCCAGGGGTTGGCACAGTGGTGTAGTGGGTAAAGCCGCTGCCTGAAGTGCCAGCATCCCATATGGGTACTGGTTCGAGTCCTGGCTCCTCCTCTTCTGATTCAGCTCTCTGCTATGGCCTGGGAAAGCAGTAGAAGATGGCCCAAGGACCCCTGCACCCATGTAAGAGACCTGAAGGAAGCTCCTGGCTCCTGGCTTCGGATTGGCGCAGCTCCAACCTTTGTGGCCAATTGGGGAGTGAACCAGCAGATGGAAGATCTCTCTCTCTCTGCCTCTCCTTCTCTCTCTGTGTAACTCTGACTTTCAGATAAATAAATAAATCTTAAAAAAAAAAAAGCATGCGACTCCTGCTTTCATTTGAACTCTTACAGGCCATTGTAGGGTTATAATTGGCCTACTGTCATTTAAATACCACTGTGTTTCAGGGACTGGGGTGGGGGGCTGCACAGACAGAGACAGATAAGGGAACAGCTGATGAGTAGAACAGTCAGAACACACTTCATAGCAATTACCTCTCAAATTTACCAGCTTATATGGGTGTGTCTTGTGTTGTCCCCAAGCAATTACAGTAATAATATCAAAGATCTCTGGTCACAGATCACAATAACAGATATAACAATGAGCAAGTTTGAAATATTGTAAAAATTACTCAAGTGTGACACAGAGACAGGAAGTGAGCACACACTGTGAGAAAACAGGTGCCAGCAGACTTGGGTATCACAGGGTTGTCACAAACTTCAATTTGTAAAAACCACAGAATCTATGAAGTGCAATAAAGCAAAGTACAATAAAACACAACGTATGCCTGTGTATGTGCAGGACATCTACAATGTGGACCAAAACCTCCATGAGATTATAATATACAATTTTCTTTCCTTAATTTAATACAGATATCTTTCTAGGTCAACATATAGAGGCTTATTATGACTGTGGGAAGGCCTGAATAAACTCCAAGTCTTCATTATAAAGTGAACTGAGTATTATTCTAGATAATTTCTCTAAAGATGTTTTTAAGGGCAGTGGAGCTCTTAGCATTTATTATAATTTCCCAAAGACTCTCTCCTCAGACTACAGTGCTGTAGGTACTGAGAAATTAAATCCAGCAAAGAGAGTTCAGCACAGTAGAAAAATTTATCTTTCTGACGGGAACTCAGAAAGAACTGGATTTGAGTCCTGGCTTGGCTGTGGAATGACTTTCCACAGATTCTTAAACTCTGCAGGCCCTAATTTCCCCCTTTAGATTACAACTGGTATGCAGGATTCTCACAAGGAGAGTGAAGGAGAGTCGGAAGTACACGGGAGCCCAAGTGGAACCAGAAGTGGAAGGCCAGGGAGCTCTACTACCAACTTCTCACTGGACTCCATGTTCTCAACTGTAAAGTGGGAATAGACTTTTCCTTCCGGTTCTAAAATCTGGGTTCTTCAGGAAGTCTTCTAAAGGGAAAACATTTCTTGAAGATTTGGCTCAGTTACAGCCATCAATTTTACACCACGTGATGTTTTTCACCACATGAAAACTGTGGGGTATTCATCAGGGCAAGTCCTCCCTCTTTGTCCATGTGTGTTATTCTTTAAGACACCTGGCTCCTGGGCTTCTTGTTGGCAAAAGCTGTCTGCTGAAAGAGGGACACACTTGCTCTAGGGCTCAACTAGCGATATGGTGAAGTGGGTAGGAAATCGGTTTCCCAGTGATACTCACTCATAGAGCAGTAAGAGGGAAATCAATCCAAGACCCAGTAAAGAAATGCTGGGGCAGGCTTACTTAGCATTCTGAATGTTGACTCAAATTATGAGAGCAGCCAGCAGTTTCAGAGTTTAGATTTTCTGGTATGGGTGGTCTCCTCCCGTGGTTTGATCCTAAATGATGCCTGCAAAATCATGCTCTTCCTCCCTCTTTAAGGAAATTAATCCTCTGGAACCTGACATTTTAAGTCAAAGAACAGAGAGACCTGTAGAAGGATATCTGGATTCCTGACCACCTAGTTTTATGCAATTGAAACTTATCAAATGTTGGAACTTGAAAGTGATGCCAATGACCAAGTTATGCTTACAGAGATGCTATAGAAGTCACTGGTTCAGTTATTTCTTTGCAAATACCTTAAGAGGGCTGCCCAGATCAAAGATGCTGCGGCTTGTTTCCAGCTAACCTAATTTGTACACTTTACTTCTTAGATCTGTTGTGTGTGTGCCTCAGAGCTTTCCTAATTAACTATTGACCTAGGGATGAACTTATCTTGCTTTTGTTGCTTTAAGGGAATTTTGTACATAGAAAATGCCTGCCAAAGAGCTGGTCACTCCTGTTCTGTCGCTGTTAGACCTCCTGGAGACGTTCACTCTGGAAGGTAAGTGGTGTGCCCGAGATGAGATCTAACTGGGTCAACTTCCTCCCCCTTAAAACATTCCCCAGGAGGTTCAACAAATAATGTCAGAGACTCTGGTGCAATACGAACAGACTTCCTCACTACGCTAAAGGTCACCAACTACAGAAGTACTCTGAACGTCACCAAGCAGAGAAGGCTAGGAACTCTGAGCAGACACAGGAAGAATTAGCGACGAATTCAAATTCACTGAGCCTGGGGTAGGCGGAGACCCAGAACATGCTAGAAGGCAGGAAGAAACGAGTTTGGGATAAAATACACCCAAAGTCAACAGCATCTTTATGGATAAATGAGAGCCAATCACATCTCTCAAAAGAGGTCTACACCAATCCATGCACACTTGGACTTGAGAGCATAAAACCAGTACACATTTGTAGTAATTGCCACTAAGTCTCACTTGATCTGATATTTATCTTCTGAATAGTATGATCCTCATATATCATTTAGCTCCTAAGTAAACTTGAAATCTCTCAGGATGAACACTCTTGAAAGTATTTGAGTACACTATTGGTCCACAGAAGAAACTTTATTTAAAAGTAGTATTGTGGCCGGCGCCGCGGCTCACTAGGCTAATCCTCCACCTTGCGGCGCCGGCATACTGGGTTCTAGTCCTGGTCAGGGCGCCGGATTCTGTCCTGGTTGCCCCTCTTCCAGGCCAGCTCTCTGCTGTGGCCAGGGAGTACAGTGGAGGATGGCCCAAGTGCTTGGTCCCTGCACCCCATGGGAGACCAGGAGAAGCACCTGGCTCCTGCCATCGGATCAGCGCAGTGTGCCGGCCGCAGCGCCCCGGCCACAGCGCACAGGCCGCGGCGGCCATTGGAGGGTGAACCAACAGCAAAGGAAGACCTTTCTCTCTGTTTCTCTCTCTCACTGTCCACTCTGCCTGTCAAAAAAAAAAAAAAAAAAGTAAATAATCCATTTTAAAAAAATAAAAGTAGTATTGTACATTTGAGTGGGAAGTATAGTTTTTCCTAATCTCTTACCATATATGAACTATTAGGGGAACACAGTATATAGTAAGTTTTCCCACTTTTTTCTCTATTGTTCCTGCACTGGAAGGAGCAGTCCTTCTCCACCTCATACTTGGTGAGAAGTCAAAAGAGAAAGTGAGGTCATGGTGAATTATCTTACTAGCAGTGTGGTCAGTTTACTCCTATCTCTTCTACCCTGCCTCACACTGCTTTTTCTGCTCTCTGGATTAATTCAGTTGCCTATTTTCAAGTGCATATACAAATCACACATATCTATTTTGAGAGCATTGTGGTCCCTCTGCACTTCATAGTTTGCTTGACTTCATTTTTTTTTTTTGCCTTTCAGAGAAGTTATGGATAAAAGATGATCTTGCTTCTTGTGTTATTATCATGAAAGTACTATCATTTTTTGTTGAACTAGGAAATAAAGTTTATAAATACAAGGAGGTTGAAACTTCCATTAATAAGTCACACTTATTTAATCTCAAAACTGCTTCTGTGAATAGTTGTAAAAGTCTGCTTAGAAGAACTTCCACTTTGATTATGGCCTTGTCTAAATAAGGTAGGAGTTTGTGAACTCAAGAGGCTTCCATAGCTTAGGCAGCTCATGACAAGAGCCTCGGGTGATTACTGACGTCATAAATAAGAGTGTCAATTGTTAATCAACAACAGGAGTTACTGTGCACTTACTCCCCATGTAAGATCTCTGTCTTTAATGTATTGTACTATGAGAATTAACAGTAAAATTAATCTTCAAACAGTACTTTATATTTTGTATGTCTGTGTGGGTGCAAACTGTTGAAATCTTTACTTAGTATAGAGTTGATCTTCTGTATATAAAGATAATTAAAAATGAATCTTAGGCCAGTGCCGTGGCTCACTAGGCTAATCCTCCGCCTGTGGCGCCAGCATACCAGGTTCTAGTCCCGGTCGGGCGCCGGATTCTGTCCGGCTCCTTTTCCAGTGCAGATCTCTGCTATGGTCCTAGAGTGCAGTGGAGGATGGCCCAGGTCCTTGGGCCCTGCACCCACATGGGAGACCAGGAGAAGCACCTGGCTCCTGGCTTCAGATCGGTGCAGCGTGCTGGCAGTAGCGGCCACTTGAGGGGTGAACCAACAGAAAAAGAAAGACCTTTCTCTCTGTCTCTCTCTCTGTGTCTAACGCTGCCTGTCAAAAAAAAAAAAAAATCCTAATGAAGAATGGGATGGGAGGGGAGAGGGTGTAGGAGATGGGATGGTTTGCAGGTGGGAGGGAGGTTATGGGGGGAAAAAACCACTATAATCCAAAAGTTGTACTTTCAAAATTTATATTTATTGAATTAAAGTTTTCTAAAAAAATCTGCTTTGATTCGTCTTAGCTCTGTATATGATTAGAGGGGTTTATTTCTAAGCTGTGTAGTGTATCCCCCATTGTATTTAACCTTTTTATTTCTAGTTTATGTTTAGAAAAATTGTGTGTTTATTGGAAGGAAAGGAAAAGTCATATTTATTTGAAACTAACATTTTCCTTCCTAAAATGTCATATTTTCTTTTTTGTTTCTTATTCAAAGATGACAACTTTTTTAGATTAGCCAGTCCAGATGCACTAATCTTTGAAAAAAATGACTTAATTTCAACTGTGTAATAACTATTAGTATTTAAACTGTCTCTTATCTGTGTGCTTTTGGTTAGTTTTTGTTTGGTATACATGACTTTATCTATTTAATTACATATTTGTTAATAAATAAGTTTCAATCTCATGAACTACAATAGAGGTACATTCAGTGACCTGATTGGGATTAAAATTCTATTCTTGAAGAAAAATACAAAAATAAAAGATTGCAACGGTTTATATGAATTACATCGATTCTATTTTAAGAGGCGAAAGATTTATATGATCTGAAGAGAAACCAGAGTATTACATTGATTCAGTTTTAAATTGAAGTTTTTAATTCAGTGATTTTCAGTAGCCTTAAAAAATATGTGGGGCCGGCGCCATGGCGCAGTAGGTTAATCCTCTGCCTGTGGCATCGGCATCCCATATGGGCGCCGGTTCTAGTCCTGGTTGTTCCTCTTCCAATCCAGCTCTCTGCTATAGCCTGGGAAAGCAGTGGAGGATGGCCCAAGTGCTTGGGGCCCTGCACCTGCATGGGAGACCAGGAGAAAGCACCTGGCTCCTGGCTTCAGATCAGTGCTGCTTTGGCTGTTGCAGCCATTTGAGGAGTGAACCAACGGAAGGACGACCTTTCTCTCTGTCTCTCCCTCTTACTGTCTGTAACTCTAACTCTCAAATAAAATAAATAAAATATTTTTAAAAAGTGTGATGACTTTTTAATCTGTAGAATTGAAATATACTAATAAAATACATTAATATTTTTTTAAAAATAGCATGGTATTTATTCCACTCTTCTCATATTTCATTTTTTAAAAATCCCCCAGAAAAACAGATCGATACTGTTTATGCATGTGCTATATCTATCACATTGTAGTAACTGCTGACAGGGATAGCTTTTTTTATTTCATTAATTAATTTATTTATTCATTTTTGGAATCATTCCCTTTCTGTTTTCCTGGACTCTGCGTTTATTGTTTAGCCAGTGTTTATCAGGTCTGGGTTTTTTTTTCCCCCTAAAACTATTATTATTTAATAGTTCAAAGTATTGATGTCTAATAACATTTCTGTTCTTAACATGATTCCTCTTTCTGTCTGTCCACACTCATTCTCTTCTCTTTACAGTGGCCTCAAAATCTGCAAGATATTGGTGTCAATCTGGCACACTTACAAGCTTCTTCAATGGTTCATGGAAGAACGGAATTAAGAGAAAAGAATTTTGGTGCAAAAAAATCTCAAAATCCATGCAGATAAAGAGCCTTCAAAATTCACAGAAAATGTGTATAATGAAAATCTTGCATGGATTTCAAATATTTTTGCACCAACATAACCTTCTCTCTTTTTTTAAAGATTTATTTATTTTTATTTGAAAGTCAGAGTTATGCACACAGAGGAGAGGCAGAGAGAGAGAGAGAGAGAGAGAGAGAGAGAGAGAGCTCTTCCATCCACTGGTTCACTCCCCAATTGGCTGCAACAGCCAGAGCTGCACCAATCCGAAGCCAGGAGCCAGGAGCTTCTTCCAGGTCTCTCACATCAGTGCAGGGGCCCAAAGACTTGGGCCATCTTCTACTGCTTTCCCAGGCCACAGGAGAGAGCTGGATCGGAAGAGGAGCAGCCGGGATATGAACCTGCGCTCACACAGGATGCCGGCGCTCCAGGCCAGGGAGTTAACCCACCGCACCACAGTGCCCCCATAACCTTCTCTTTTAATTTCACCATTCCCTGAACTTTTTGAAGCACCCTTGTGTGTTCTCAACTATATCTGAATTGGAGACTTTCTCTGAGACCCTGAACAATTGTATTTCTTTTTTTATTTCCAGACACTTCTCAGGTATAATCTTCATCTGTATTCCTGAATAGCCATATTTTCAAGAATATTTTAGAATTCTCTTTCACAATGGGTTAGGTATGGACTACGATTCTGAAAGCTCTATCTCTGCAGCCTGTCACATTAGAATCTTTCTGAGGATGCTCCAAACCCCTCCTAACAGCTGTTCCATTTCTCTGTGATGTGAAAGTCTCGTTTTTGCTTCACTATAGGATGTTATTGAAAGCCAAGCCCACAGTTTTCATTTTTTTAACAGCTACATTTCTTTTTCAGTGTAGCTTCTACCCATTAACCTTGCCAGCTCTCTCTCAAGGTCTAAGTCAGAACTCAGTCACCTCTGGCATCATTGAGAAATGTTCTCGTGTGATTCCCTCTGGCCGTAACATCAGGTGTTTGCAGCCTTTTCGTAAGGAGGCATGGCGTGGCTGGCAAAGGTCAGTCTGTTCCATCCACTTGCACTTCTTGCCTGTCTCCTTTTGACACAGCTCCTTTTTCTGACTGCCCCCAGAGACTCACCCGCAGCAAGAAAAAGTCCACTCCTCCTGCATAGCAGAGATCCATCCCTCTTCCAGCACTTGCAACTAAGATAAATACTCCAGGATGTCCCGTATCATGACAGTGTTGCGCAAGCAGACACTGTCATTATGTTGGCGTTAACTCTTCCGTCGTGTGACCCATTTTTACCTTCCGTTTCCCCACACCCTCTTACCGTGGGCAGCCTGACAATATTCATAACCTTTGGCATTCTCCTCTCCATTTCCCAAATGTACTTCAGGACATGGTTCCCTTTTTCAAAGGAAAATGCCACTTTGGCTTCAATCACGACTTCTCAACATTCCCTACACACAGAGAAAGAAGCTAAACTTTATTCAAACACAAAGGGATGTGGTCTAGGTGCACGCTTGATTTAGATAATGAATTTATTTATTCCCAGTTGATTATTTTCCCTACAACACAGAGTTGGGTAATCATTAGGGGACCTTTGAAGCAAATTCTAGTCTCTATTGCCACTGTTTCTGTTTCTTTCTTTTCCATTGATTTTTCTTCAGTCTCTGTTCATTGCTATTTCTTATTTTTACCTTTTCTCTTCTGCCCGTGCTTCAAGGATTACAAATGGGACCTGGGAGTATTGGCTTAAACAAACAAACAAGGCAAAACAATAACAAAACCAAAACCTGCTATCCTCTTCTCAGGTTTAAACAGAACTTAATACGCATCTGGAACTCGAGATTTTAGCCAAGTCAGTTAAAATTAGAGTAAAAATATTATGCATGCTTAAGAAAAATAATGACATTGGTCAAGATGAATCAACAAAGAAAAATAATAATACAGCCATGTCTAGCATTGTGCTAATTTCCTCATGGTTGATTTTAGGGTGTGTCAATGTATAAATGTAAATGCACATATATTGTAGCTTTGCTATTTATGCCTACTTTCTCACTGGATAAGTAAGAATCCAGTTTCATATTCCTAGAGGCAATGTTTAATAAGAAATTATTGAAAGAATGAAGGCTTGTTATTCAATGGGGCTTACTGTGTCTAAAAATTAGTGAAACCCAAGATATGTATTATTGAACTCATTCATCATTAATTATTAGAGAGATCCTTGAATCTACAGATATGGATGGTGTGCAGATGTGTAAGGAGACTTATGGGATTTATGGAAGTAAAAAACACGATGTCTTCTCTACTGCAATTCGAATATGCTGGAAATAATGACTCTTGATCAATCACATTCCACTATTGCTTTTAACTACAAGCCAATTCTAATTACAAGATTACTTGCCATGACATCATATGATTCTCCATTTCTAAATACTCTGCTGCGGCTCTGTATTATTCCTTGTACAATCAGTTCCTCCAGGATGTCTGATGACTTTTGTCGCTCTTGATTCTCTAGGGCTTGGTGCTTAGCAATTAGTCCATTGATCACTAGTTCTTCCAAAGGGAAAGAAAAAAGAAAGCAAAATTTAAAGATGCAGATTTTATGAATCCAATGCTAAATGGATGCCTTATAAATCAGGGCACTTAATTAAATCTTAGTGCAACACCCTTACTTAAATATCTATTTTTATTGTAAATCTTCATAATTCTTTGAAGCTCAAGTTCATTTTTTCCAGATTATTTAAACATTTTTGTGAAATATAGTATGCATACCAAAAGTGTACATAAGTGCACAGATAAATGAGGTTTTTGTCTTCTGAGCACACTCCTAATGAACACCCAAATTAAGAACAAAGCACTACTAGTACCCCAAGGGTCCTCACTATTCCCCTTCTCTGTCTGTCTTTCTTTGTCATCTACATGGTATGATTCAGCAAAGCATATTTATAACTAAATGATATGACATCCACACAGTTTTTATATACTTTAAATTCTTAATGTTCTTACAGAGAATACACACACCAACATAGTATGTTGTTTACTTCACAGGTCGCATGATAACATGACAAAAAGTCTTTCCGGTGCTGTTGTGAGCTACCTCCTTGTTGTAACAACAGTTATACACTTGGGTACAAGGGCTCCCTCCACTAATTATGAAGCTGAACCACAGCTAAGAATCAAATAGCCTTTTGGCAAGTCTTATGAGTTGCAGTTTGGTTTCTATGCTTTGTATACAAAGGATAAACAGCGTGATGTTGCCAAGAAACTTCTAGTTCTGCAACCCTGAGTTTACAATTACGCCATCTGCTAAATCTACATAAAGAAAAAATAACACCTCTTTGAGAAGTGTCTTTGAATCAAATCAGAACTGGCCTTAGAGTGACATTAGCTAAATTTTCATTAGTGATTCTAACAATGAGCACTGAAACAGTTCATAGGGGAGCCTTAGAGGAGCTGCAATCTTGAAAGTGACCTCTCCCCTTACAAATCCCCCACTAAATATATATTTAAAAGTAAGCAGCTACTTTTATGTCATCACATTAAAAATAAAGGGTGCTGGCTTATTAGGTCAAGGACAGTTTTGCTTGTCTTTTCAGAATCAGTGCAATGTGGAATTCTGAGAAATGAGCTAACTTCTAATATTATAATCAACAGGAAGCCCTGACACTAACAAAGCCCCTTCCATTTAGTGGACAGAGTTTTTTTTATGAAAATTTCTAAGTGCAATGGCTAGCAAAGACAGCTCTCCTGAATTTGTGCCGGGCAGGTGGAAGATACCCACACAGATGCCCAATGGGCTAATCAGATGTCTCTTGCATGCATCAGAGTATTAACCTAACTGCTGTAAGAGATTCCTCTGGTTGACCACTACAAGTAACTCCAACTAACTCTACCTTCTCAGTGCCTTGCAAAGGCTGTTCTACCCATGCAGATGTTTGAAATAGAGCCAATCCCCATCTTAAAATACTATATGCGTATTGTGGTACAGAGTGGCAAAACATATGCACTAGGCATGTGAACTAGAAACTTTGAAACTCAGTAAGAAGGCCAGAGGTGACACATCCTCATGGAAGGAGAATGATGTTTTTGTTGGGGGTGGAACTTATGTAGAGAGATTAAAATAATAATTACTATCTATCAAACATTATGCACCTGCATCATACTTACTATATTCATCAATGAAGATGGATTCCAGGACCCCTGTGGATATCAAAATCCATTAAATGCTTAAGCCCGTCTATAAAATGGCATGGTATCTGTGTATAACCTGTGCACACACTCCTATATACTCTGAATCACCTCCAGATGACTTATAATAGCTGATACAATGTAAATGCTATGTAAATAGTTGCTGCACTGTATTGTTTAGGAAATAATGACAAGAAAAGAAGTCTGAATATGTTCACTACAGGTGCAATTTGTTTTTCAAATACTTTCATCATTCAAATCCACAGATGTGGAGCCCACGTATGCTTTAACATCTAACTCAAACATAAACTCTGTATAAGGAATTTTATCATCTCTATTTTATAAATAAACACACTGGTAGGAGGAGGGCTGATTAAACTGCTCAAGGTGACCCAGGAAGTAAGTGGGCTAACCGGGATTGAATCCAAGTCTGACTTCAGCACCCAGGTTCTCAGTACCTCTTGGTTCTCCCTCCCAAATCCATCATGTAAACAGCTTCCCTGTCTGTGGCCCATTTTTTCTTCCATGATGCTTCTGGAAGGAAAGTCATGTTTGACATTTGCCACTAGCATAATAAAATTATTGTAACCATTCTGATCCATTCTTTGCTCTGTCTACTCAAGCATATGGCTTGACATTTATAGTAGCTATCCTACACAGAAATTCTTGGAATACATCAGTTCTTTCAACTAATTTTAATTTCTTGGGACATTGGAGAATACTAGGGCAATGTTTAAAATAATATTGTGCTTTTTTATTATAATATTTAAACATGGTCATGGTAGCAGATATAGAAAATAATAAAATAAAATGCTCCAAAGACTATCAGTGTTAACACATTAAAGTTTATTTTTATAAATTTAACATAACATTGGACACAAAGTTTTGTCTCCCACATAGTTAACATCTACATTCACATTTTCTCATGTCAACAGACATTCTCATAAGTGTAAAAATGAAATTATGTAAGAAAACACGGGTGAATTCATCTTTGACCTTGGTGTAGGCAAAGCTTTGTAACTATGACTAAATATCCAAATTTAATAAAGGAAAATATTGGGACATTTTGTTACATTAAAAGCACTCAGGGCAAAAAAATGAATTAAATATAGATATAATGTGCCTCCTAATTTAATACACTAAGGCACAGCAGCATTTTTGGAATTCTTGACAAAAATGCATAGCCTGGACCTAATCAAGAGGAAACCTCAGATATACTCAAATTAAGGGACATTCTATAAAATAAAAGACCTATACTTTTCAAATACATCAAGATCATAAAAGACAAAGAAAAGCTGAGGGACTGCTGAGCTGAAAGGAAAATAAAGCCACGTGACACAGCTAAATTGAGTAAGTGATGCAGGATTGTGAGCAGATTCTGAATCAGAATCTTATTTATAAAGGATATTTGTGAGCCAATTGGTAAAATTTAAATATGGTCTATAGATGAGATAGTGGTAATATTTCCTGACTCATCCTTGCAGGGAGAGTGTGCAAAGAGTGTCCTTGTTTTGGGGAAATGCATACTGGTTTATTTAGAAGCACAGTGTCTTGAAGTCTGAAGTTTATTCTCAGAATAAATGTTCTCAGAATAAGTGTGTATGGCAGAGCAATATGGTGGTGACATGTGAATGCCTGGGTTATCTGGGTGAAAGAGTATAGGCATTTTTTTTGTTTACTTGAATCTGAAAATATTCAAAATACAAAAGGTGTTTTTTGTTTGTTTGTTTGTTTGTTTGTTTTTTTGATATGAGAGGCAGAGAGACAGAGAGAACTACAGAGAGTGAGTGAGAGAGTTCCCATTCTCTGGTTCACTCCCCAGATGCCTGCTACAAGCCAGGACTGGGCAGGGCTATATCCTGGAGATGGGAACTCAATCCAGGTCTCCCACATGGTGGTAAGAATCCAATTACTTGAGCCATCAGCGGCCGCCTCCCAGGGTCTGCATTGGCAGGAAGCTGGAGTCAGGAGCCAGAGCTGAGAATCAAATGCAGGAACTGATGTGCAACTTGGGCATCTTAACCAATGTCTTAAACAGTAGGCCAAATACCCACTCCTAATAAAACAGCAAATACAGATTATCTCTAACTTAATATGGTTTGACTTAGAATTCTTTGACTTTATAATGGTTTGAAAGCCAACAGTCATTCAGTAGGAACCACACTTGGAATTTTGAACTTGAACCTTTCCCCAGCTAGCTCTCTGTGGGCAGCAGTAGAGGGCAGTGAGCACAGTTCCCAGAAGCCCCACTGTCACCTGGGGAAACCTCCAGTGCTCGGCAGTGCAGCTGAGCTAGGATGTGCAGAGGGGCAAGTGCATTCAATGTATTTTCCATTTAATGATATTCTCAACCTATGTTGGGTTTATTGGGACACAACCCCATCATTAGTCAGGGAGCATCAGTTATTGGGAAATGTTAGTTTAGTGAGAAACTTGAATTCCTTAGCAGTATGCTCAGTGGGTATGAGAAGTTGGATGAAAAAAGACGATGCAAAGACTGGGAGACAGAGAGGAAGCTGGGCAGAGAACACACAAGTCCAGAGTGCCAGGTCTTACACATTCTGCGCTGAGATTCTTCCTGAAAAGTCATTCACACGATATGTTAGAAACACCTGCTTTGGTAGCTGACTTCTCCGCGCTGTGCTCTCTCACACTCCCCTGCTTGCCTGCTGCCCTCCCACACTGCCTTTCACCGTGCACTCCAGGCCAACTGACTGCTCCAACACACACCTGTCCCCCTCCTGCCTGAGAATCTGCAGTCTGCAAACAACACAGGTATTTAGCATTCATGTTGCCATCTAGAAGGGAATCACATCAATTATCAGAGACAAAAAAAGAAAGATGTCCCCACTGGCTCAGAACTGCATCCCTTGCCTCCTTGTCATTGCCAGAGGTCAAATGACACCGCATCAGAACCACAAAACAAGGGCAGACATAAAATCTGCGATAACCAGAGGGTGCCGAGAAAGCCCAAGATAAATAAAATCTTATGCATGAGGACATTTGGAAAAGTTCATGGAAAATACAATCTAAAGTTAGGTTTATTTTGATGCAAAAGAATTTTGAAACCCATGCATAGTTTTTCCATAAAATACACTTCCATGAACTTTTTGAAGACTCCTTGTGCTAACCCATCTATTTTCCAATCTTAACTCATATCTAGGGAAGAAACTACAGTGACCAGGAATGAAATGAGTCTGCCCCACCCCGTCCCCCACCTCCAAATAAAACAGAGTAATTTTCCTTGGGGTCTGTGCAGTTTAATTTGATTCAAAGGCTGATCAAACATAAATAAGTCTTAAATCAACACCAGGAGGCAACTCAAGCAGAGGGAAAACACACCATATGATAAACCACAAATGGTTTCTAAACAGCACATTGGGCTGTAATTACTTCTTTTACATTTTTTACAGATTCTTTTATTGTTCCTGAAATGCTACTTTGGAAGGGGAGAGACAAGGAAATGGTTTGATGAAGGCTTTATTTATTTTTGTAAATGCAGACTCTCTCTTGGGGACATGTGAACATGTGGAGTTTAAATTCCTTTACACTGTGTAACTCCTATTCCTAAGGTCTGTTCCCAACTGCAGATAAAGGCTTTTAGTTAAAAAAAAAAAAAAAGGTGGTTTTCATTATTTCATTGGCAAGGAGATTAAGAGTTAGTATTATTTACTTGCATAACGAAAGCCCAAGGCTAAGTTGCAATGTTCTAGAGATAAGAACTTTGCCATTTAAAGTACTTCATGGCCCACAAAGCTATCAGAAAAGGGCTACCAAATACACATTACATAATATATTTAGAGATATGGCATTTTGTGAAGATCAACACGAAAGGGGGCTTTTTACCTGAATTTTCTTTTCTGCTTTTTTCACTGGGAGATGGAGAACTTTCTGGAATGGCCCCGGGTAAACTTCCCATCTGGGCAGGGGGCTCTGAGCCTTCTGCATGGTCCACAGTATCCCTGGACAGTGCAGCTTCAGTCTGGGGACTGCAATGCTCCTTGGAACAGGTCTCATTGACATCAGCCTGTGACAAGAGAACAGTTTTGAGAGAATCAAGATTTCCTGGAAATTGAAGCCAATGTTGTAGGGTCTGCTTTGGGGATGCTTAGCCACCTAGTGTCTGTGGGAGACCAAATAGTACTCAGAAACCTGCTGATGTTGGTGTGTATGGTAACATGATGCAGCAGGTGTGTTTAAGTTCAGGTTCTTGAGATGGCAGGGTTATCCTGATTGGTACAGGTTGGTCCTGAGGGCAGCCACAAGTGTCCTCCTTTGAGTGAGGCAAAGGGAGTTTGACTGCGGAGGGAAAGGTAAGGTGACGAAGGAAGCAGGGACAGATGGAGAGGTAGCTGAGGTGCTGGAGCTGAGAAGGAGGGAAGAGGATATGAGCCAGGGGAGTAGAATGCAGATCTAGAAGCTGCAAAAGACAAGTAAGAGGATCCTCTCCCCAAGTCTCCATAAAGTAACCAGCCTTGTCCACACCTGGACTTTAGCTCAACACAACCGACTCTGGGCTTCTGTCTGCCAGAACAGTAAGGGAATATGTTTGGGTTGTTTTAGGACACTAAACTGGGGTGGATTTGCAAGCAATGGCAACAGAAAACCAATAAGGTTGTACTACTCCACATTCATATCTAGTATGAACCTACTAGGGGGAGGCTCTGATGCTGTGCCTTCTGGAAGATACCAGGATGAAATGCATAATATTCAGGTGTGAAAGTAAAGGTACTCTTGGGCTGGCGCTGTGGCGTAGCAGGTAAAGCCGCCGTCTGCAGTACTGGCATCCCATATGGGTACCAGTTCAAGTCCTGGTTGCTCCACTTCCCATCCAGCTCTCTGCTATGGCCTCGGAAAGCAGTGGAGGATGGCCTAAGTCCTTGGGCCCCTGCACCCGTGTGGGAGATGTGGAGCTCCTGGCTTCAGATCGGCGCAGCTCCAGCTGTTGCACCCAATTGAGGAGTGAACCAGTGGATGGAAGACTGCTCTCTCTCTCTTCTGCTTCTCTTTCTCTCTGTGTGTAACTCTTTCAAATAAATAAATAAATAATTCTTAAAAAAAAGAAAGTAAAGGCCGGCGCCGCGGCTCAATAGGCTAATCCTCCACCTAGCGGCGCCGGCACACCAGGTTCTAGTCCCAGTCAGGGCGCCGGATTCTGTCCCGGTTGCCCCTCTTCCAGGCCAGCTCTCTGCTATGGCCCGGGAGTGCAGTGGAGGATGGCCCAAGTGCTTGGTCCCTGCACCCCATGGGAAACCAGGAGAAGCACCTGGTTCCTGCCATCGGATCGGCGCGGTGTGCCGGCCGCAGCACGCTGGCCGCGGCGGCCATTGGAGGGTGAACCAACAGCAAAAGGAAGACCTTTCTCTCTCTCACTCACTGTCTCTCTCTCTCACTGTCCACTCTGCCTGTCCAAAAATAAAAAAATAAAAAAATAAAGAAAGTAAAGATACTCTTGTACTTTTTAAAAGTTTTTTTTTAAAAAATTTAAACTACCTTTGTTTTTTTCTTATCAAAAATAACAGATTCATTGCAAAACTAATTAAATAAAATGGAAAGAAAGTGGGATAATCATTTTCATGTGTTAACTGGACAAGATCATAGAAGGCAGTTATTCAATGGAACACTAATCGGGGGATTGCTGGGAAGGTGTTTTGTAGATGTGCTTAACAAGTCTAGCCAACTGATCCTAAGTGAAAGAGATCATCCTGGATAATCTGGGTGGGTTTTATCCAACCAGTCAAAAGGCTCCACGAATTTAAATGAGGTTTTCTTCGAGGAAGAAGAAATTCGGCCTACCTCAGCTCCTGCATCTCTTCTGATTGCCTGCCCGATCCCATGGATTTTGGATTTGTTGAGCCAGCCCATGATTGTATAAGTCAATTCCTTGCTATCTATATATCTATCTATCATCTATATATCTATCCATCTAATCTATCCATCCACTGTTCCCTCTGTTCATCCTATTAGTTCTCTTCTTGTAGAAACTTGATACAGAAACACAGCAGAAAATAAGAAAATCACCCCCTAGAAAGAAACACAATTAACAACTTAGTATATCACTTTCCAGATATTTGTTCATACATCTTTTAGAAATTTGTTGGAGTTGGGCAACAAACACATAAAAAGATAATTCATTAGCATAATGCAAATCAGAAACAATGATATGCTTCACACCCGCTAGGATGACTATAATGGAAAAAGGTACATGATAGCAACGGTTGGTGAGGACGTGGAGAAGCTGGAATTGCTCGGGGATATAAAATGGTGCAGGAAGTGGGTGTTCGGGCTCTCAGTTAAGATCATTGAGTCCCACATTGGGACGCCGGGCTTGACTCCTGGCTCCATCTTCTGACTCCAGCTTCCTACCAATGTAGATCCTGGGAAGAAGAAATGATGGCCCAAGAAATTAGGCTCCTGCTGCCCACGTGGGAGACCTGGATTGAGTTCCCAGCTCCTGACTCCGGTCCACTGAGGCATTTGGAGAGTGAACAAACAGATGAGAGCCACCTCCCACCTTCTCTCTCTCTCTATCCCATTCAAATTAAGAAAAAGCAGTGCAGCCCTTGTGGAAGAGAGTTTGTGAGTTCTTCAGAAAGTTAAACAGAGTTGCCTTATGAACTGGAAAGGTCATCCCAGGTATATATACAGGATGAAAACATACATTTACACAAAAGGATACACACAAATTATTAATAATATCCAAAAAGGGGAAATAATCCAAATGTGTATTAATGGATGAATGGATGAATAAATTGTGAGAGTCATACAAAAATATTACTTGACAATTAAAAATTGTCATTCATATTGCAACTACACTTAAAAACACTGCAATAAGTGACAGAAGTGAGATACAAAGATTATTCCTGTTATAACATTCATTGTAAGACAGACTTATAGAAACAAGATAGATATTTAGTACTTGCTCATGGCTGGTGGTGGGGTGGGGTGGGGAGATGAGGACTGACTGCTAATGAGTAGAGTTTCTTTTTAGGAGAAACAAAAATGTTCTACAATTAGGTTGTGGTGATAGTGGTCAGTGGTGAATTTTATGAGTAATGTGTATGCTGTGTGAATTCTATTTCAGTAAAGCTGCTTTCAAATACAACAAATCAGATTATATATAAAATGATATTGTATTTCTATAACTCATTTATTTCCATAACTATGCCACTGTAGTCTATTTCATTCTATTTAAGGATGGGGAATAGAAGGTTTTATTGTAGTTTATGGCATAACTATGCCACCATTTACTTAACCAATTCCTGATGAAAGAGTTCTAGGTTTCTTTTTCTTTATTTATTTGAAGGGGGGGGGAGAGAGAGGGAGAGGGAGAGGGTGAGGGTGAGAGAGAGAGAGAATATGTGTGAGTGAGGGTGTGTATGTAAGTGAGAGAGATCTTCCATCTGCTGGTTTGCTCCCCATACGCCCACAAAAGCCAGGGCTGTGCAAGGCGGAAGTCAGGAGCTGGAGACTCGGTCTGGGTGTCCTACATGGGTGGCAGGGACCCAAGTACTTGAGCCATCACTTACTTCATCCAAGGATGCGAGTTAGCAGGAAGCTGGAATCGGAAACAGGGCCGGGATTTGAAGCTAGGCACTCTGACAATGGGATGCAATCCCAAGTGCCACTGTCCTGCCAAACACTGGGATTATTCTAAGTTTTCTATATGATAAATGGTGTCTAAACAATATCTGTGCATTCTGTATTACTGTGGCTCTAGGAGAAGGAATGTCTAGATGTGGCCGTGCTGCGGCCAAGGCTATGCTCGCTGCAGGGTAATACAGTGTGCGTGTCCGGACCACCCTCCATAAATCCTGCAGTTGTTACCCGCCTTCCCATTTCACGGATGCTTCTGAGGGGTCTTGTAAAAGTTTGAGAAAAATGTGTCTTAAGAAAGCCATGCATGGATTTTAACATATTTTTTGTGACATAATACACATCTCTTCATTCAATCTTTGCACAAACTTTTTGAAAGACTTTCCTCTTTATCCATACCACCACTCCATGGCTTGCAAATATGACCCGTGACTTAGTAAAAACATGGACACCATAATACTGGTCCACATCAAGTTCTGCATGGTTCCACAGCAAAAGAAGAAATGCAAGAAAAATGAAAAGTTCCCCCCAAAGCTATATTAATTAAAGAACTGTCATTTCTTTTTTCTGAACAAGTACATTTTAAGTACTTTTTCTCATATCCCCTCTAGCTACTGTGTCTGCTCTCTCCACAGCTGGCTATTCCACTACTTGGGCTGCACCTTTCTCATTTCTCATCTCAGTGGAAGCCATCTGCCTTGCTACCATCTAAGCTTCCTTGGTGTCTCCAGAAGAGACAAGGACACACGATCTTTTGCTGAGTACCTTCTTAACAGCCAGCCCTCCTATGTCTATGTACCCACTTATATGGTCCACGGGGTGCCCTTCTCCCCTCCTCATGAGTCATGGAAGGGACTCAATACCCTGCCCTTCACCTCCCAGTCTCTGTAGCATGGCCCTGCTGTCACCTGCCACGACAGAATCCCATGTGGGCATTGGCTCAAGTTCTGCGTATCTTGCTGGGGGTAGCAGAAGGTGTTCAACGGGAGGCTCTTGAATTGAGTTTTAATGGATGAATTTCTCCAGTGGGCCAGGAGAAAAGGGTATACTAGTCGGAGAGCAAAGCACTCAGCGACACTGCAGTAAGAAACCACATTGTGTGTCCAGGAACTTGAATTTTCCAGCATAAAGGACACTGACTGAAGCAGACAGTGGAGGATGTGGAGGTTGGCAAGGTAAGTCTCTTGGGATGAACAAAGAAGAATGACTTTGTTTTGAATGCAACAGGAATCCTTTGTAGGGTTTTTAATCCATAGATGTGAAAAAGATGATCAAGTGCATTTTTAAAAACTATCACTCTTGATAATGAAGGGAGTGTGAAAAGGGAAAGGAAAAAATACGGAAACCAGTGATGATTATTGCAACTGTCCAGGTAAGATTTGACTGAACATGAATGAGGACAGCAGCAGTAAAAATGGGGGCAGACGGTGG